TGCCTTTGAAACAGAACAGCCAAGGTCAAGATCTGCCCTTTTAATGATACTTTTTAAAAGAGAAGGGCAGGGAAAAAAAAATTATACTCCCCTAGTTCAGGGCCAAATCTAGCCTGTCTGTTGTAGGGGTGCAGTAAAAAAAAAAAAAAAAAAAAAAGTCAGTGGGGCAGAGGATGGGAGGTCAACAGGACAGTGCCATCAGAGCAGAGGATAGAGTCTGCAGTTTGTAGGGCAGCAGAGGCCATAAACTTTCAGGGCTGAGGAAGGGGTCATTATAGCATAGTGGCAGGTTAGGGCAGGCTACAGCTACAGCATATAATGGCAGTTTAGAGCATTAAAGTGGCAGATCGCAGTATTTTAGCAGATTTGTGCATTGAAATGGCAGAATAAGGCAGTATGGGGACAGGCTACAGCAGGTTATGGCACTACAATGGCAGGTTAGGGCAGTATAGTGTTAAACTAGGGCAGTGTGTAGTATCATGCTGTTATCTCATGGATTGTAATCAAAGACTCCCCATGCTGCTGTGTCCTCCACTTTCGTCAGCTGATGGATCAACCTAAGTGAAGGAGGCTGTGGGAGGAGTGTAGGTAGCCACACCCCCAGCTCCTCCCACAAACTCCAGCTGCCTTGGGAGATATTGTAGAACAACCTAACCAGTTTAGATGACATATTGAGTGTGTATAGATAGCCTGCTCCACCTATGGGCTCCCTGCTTAGCTGATCATCACTGCATTTACAAAGTGGCACAGACAGGGAAAGTGCAGCTGTCTTAAGTATTTGCTCAGTGGCCAGGCACAATGTCAAGGGTGGAGGCTGTTGGTGCTTTGGGGGAGTAGACTCTAGCTAACTCGCTGGAAGCTGGGTCACAGGAGTGCAGAACTAAGCGCACTCCTGTCACCCACATGAAAAGTATGGCCAAAAGAACTTTGGTCATACTTCTCCTTTAATGCCAGCGCCATCTTCTCACCAGACTGGAAAGAGCTAAATGTGCCCCACATACATACTGCAAGGAAAGAAATGTACAAGCTTCACAGCAGGTGAAATAAGTCTTCCATGTACAATGGTACACCTTTCTGGAGGTCTACTTTCTTGCTTTGAGGGAGTAGGGATAACGGTCAAAAACATCCCTATCCCTCAGGACTTTGGCTTCAACAGCCATGACATCAAAGTAGGATGGAAGATCAGAATATGTAACCGCACGCTTAGACATTCTGGAAGAGCCTATAGCTCATCTGTCAACTGATTTACCATGTTCGCATAACATGTTGTTCTTACCCAAAGCAGGTGTGATCAGAACCATCGAATACCCTCCATCTTTTAATCTGTGTAACATGTGAGGACAAATTTGTAGTGAAGGGAAGGCATAAATCAGGGTCAGTGATCCCAAGGAGTCACCACAAACTGCTTGGATGTGGATCTCCTAGCATGCAGATTTCACAACAAACTGGACAGTTTGTGTCTTTAACAATCCCAGAGTCCCCCACCACAGAAAAATCTCGGTGAACATCTCAGGATGAAGGGCCCATTCTCTCAGATTCAGTTGGACACAGCAGAAAAGACCAGACCGTGAAGTTCTGCTCAAGAAAAGATTAGGTCTGCTTCTTATTGAGCAAAACTTGTCTTTCCTCTCCTTGATGGTTTATTTATACCACAGTTGTGACAATGTCTGATTATACCCTGATGGTAAGACCTCTTAGTCAGACCAGTGTGGAAGAGCCAGCTGATTAGCCCTGAAGTTCCAAGATGTTGACTAACAAATTCTGCTCTTCTAATGACCTCTTTCCATGGCCAAAGGTTCTGCAGAACACCTCCCCAGAAAAAATAAGCTGAACTGCCAGTTCATCAAAAGTATTGCCTGGTATCCAGCATCAGTGTGGTTGCCCACCATTTCGGAACCAACCTGGTCATTAATTAAATGCAAAGCAGGTCTAGAGACTCCTGATATTTGTTCTATACAGACAGGATATGGAGTTGAAAAGCCCTAGAATGAAACTGGGCATATGGGACCAGCTTGTCTGAACACCATGCCACAAACCCAGCTGTCAGCAAGAGGAGGCAACCTTTCTTTGTGACGATGACTTATCTACAGAACTGGAAGATTGGGGGGGGGGGGGGGGGCCCTGTTCATCTTATGGAACTGGGACACAGACTTCTGCTTAGATCTTGCGGCTTTGTTACTTGTGAAGGAAACTCTTCTTGGATTCTGAAGACATCTTCACCTTTTTCTTTAGAGGTAAGAGCATGTTTTTCCCAACAGTTACTTTCTGGGTGAAGGCATCCAAGGATGGTCCAAACATGTTCGCCCTCAAAGGGCAGCCTCTCAATTTGCTTCTTGCAGAGAAGTTCTGGTGACCAAAGCTTGAGCCATAGGCTCAGACATGGTGCACACCTGGGAATGCTGCCTTATGGAGTCTTCCAAGACATCTACAGAGGAAATGCTCTCGGAAAATCTTCCAGGAATTGCTATATGGCAGGATCCCCTGGGTCTGGAATGGAGTGTGTGCTTTGCCCAAAATTTGAAGACTTGAAGACTCTTACCAGTGAGAAAAACACCTTAAAAAGAGTCCTCTAATCTCTTATCTGTGGCATCTTTATTCAGCCACTGGTACTAGCAAGGTCTTATTTAAGTAGGAAATGGCCAGGTCAGAGTACCTAATTTCTTGTAAAATTTAAACTCCATGGGGTACGGCAGAGCAAAATGCATCGGAGGTGAAAATCAGGTGAAGGTCAGTCCAATGGACAGTCATCATTTTCTGTAAGCAAGGGTGCACTGGAAGGAATTTGGAATGGTTTAGCATCTGCCAGGACCCAAATTCAGTGACTTTTTGGAGAAGAAGATTCCGGTAAGTGGTAAATTCCAAATGTGTGTGTACCATGTTTGTAAGGAATCTTGCTGTGGTACATGGTATTTGCAACAGCCTCAGACCCCAAGATTGCTCCAGAGAGAACTAGTCTACAGAGGATTACAGAGCTCCTTTCTCATCTTGATGATGCCCCATTCACCTGCATAAGGGCAGGATGAGAAGGCGAGTGCCCACACTTGCATCTCTGGCATTTCAAACCAGAGGACCCATGACAGCTGGCCCGGCAAACCAGAAATAGCTGCAGAAAATTCCAACCTTGATGCAGGGGAACCAGAGGATTGTGCTCCTGAGACAGTGAAAATACAGGATTAGGGCAGGGATTTAGAGTTACTCCAACTCTCACCTGTACAGGGGGTGCCCTCCTTACCTCATACAGGGAGCTGAGAGTTGACCCCATTGTTCTCCCCCACCCAACCTCTCTGCACAAGGTCATGGCTTGCTGAAAGTTAGTAGCCATATAATACCCTATAAGGGAGTGCTCATCCAGCCCAAGCCAGAACACCTAAGTGGCAAGTTAACCCCCCCCCCCCCCCCCCCCCCCCCCCACAATAGACAAGTGTCCCAATACTTGATGAACTGCTGGAGCCGTATAGGAGCCGTGGTATAGGAGCCTGCTACTCCACTTATTAGTACAGCTGGAGCTTTGTGAAACTGTGCCCACACATGTGCAGCTATGCTTGTCTGCCCCTTTTGAACTCCACTATTGCTGTATTGCTTCACATGGAAAATCAGCCCACACTGCCACCAATACACAAGGAACACTGTCAGGGAAAGACTGCCACATGCTACCCCTTTACAGAGGCACCAGTCCATGTTGCTGGGCCAAAAGGCTCAATCTTTACCCCTCATGGAGGGCACATCTAGCTATGCTGGACCTACAAAGCACCCTGCAAAGGAGGTCACCTGATACATAGTGCCCTGGACATCACTGCCTGCAGGATTTGGCACCAACCAGCAACATTACAGGCGCTCTCTACTTTTGCATATGGGGTCCAGGCACAGTCCCTCTTAACTTAGATAATGAATCTGTCTCTCTAAAGATCTCATTTTACAAGTAAACTAATGAAAAAAAACAGAGCTGGCCTGGGAGGGGTTATGCTTGGGTGAAGACTTCTGCCCCCCTTTTTTTTTGCCAGGGTCCATTCAGCTGAAGGTGGCAGCATATCCCAAGTAGTCAGGAACTATTGTCGGGATCCATCCAGCTGCCTGATTAACAGCTGGCTTTGTCTCCTAGTGTGCAGCTGAGAGCTGTAGCCAATTACGCCTGTCCCCTCTCCAGCCCTGTGCTCTAGTGAGTGCTGGGGGGGGGGGGGGGGGGGGGGGCAAGAGCAGAGAGGGGTGGCTGAGAGTCACTGCTATCTGCTCCAGATTGAGAACTGAGCAATCAGCGGTCATGTGATTGCTCAGTTCTCGGGCTGAGTGTCGACCAGGAGCAGCTGCATCACCAGACCGATGCTGCAGCACTGAGGTTAATATGTATGCTTATTTGCTTTTAGAACCCCATACATCTCCTTTGATTAGTAAAAATGACAGTACAGCCTTCTTAAAGCAGTAGGTATTTGCAGGTCTCTTACATAATCTACTCCAAAGTAGGGGATTTCAGTACGCAGAGACTGAAAGAAAACAGAAGATGTTTACTCACAAGCAAAGAAACTTTATTTTTTTTTTTTCCTCGACGATTAACAAATGTAAAACTGATAAAATCCACATAGAACAGCATCCAACTGCTTTGAGTGGAGGAGTGTTAGAGGACACACCAAAACAGAGTAAATAAAACTTCCCTGTTCCCCAATTGTCAAACTTTTTAACAACATATATATTGAGGTTGGAAAGGACTTGCTGTATACATAACTTTTAATTCAATTCCACTCAAAAGTACCAAGTGCAATTTTTCTTCAAGGTGCTTACTCATTAGAGAGTGTGCATGTAGTGCTCAGCATTATACATTCCGCTTAGTGGAGCAGATCTCTTCCTGTTCCCCAGAAACTGTATCTTCATGAATCAGGACTATAAGCACCAACCTTGCTGTCTTCTCTGAATTACCTATTGACTGGTTCTGCAGAAGATCAATGCTCACTTCTGCAATGTACAGATTCGACTTGCTAATTTTATTTACGTCATGTCAAGAATTTCTTTTATCTTCGCTTTTTCATGTTCTTTGGATTATATCTGTAATAAAACATACACATAACTTATATTTTGTCAGTCCATACTTTAACCACCATTAACCCATTGCTGTTGATTTTGTATGTTCCAAAGACGGTTGTGCTAATGTTTATCGAATCAATATTTTCATATAAAATGCACTAAAATCATAAATTGTGCACATGATCACAATAATCTCCAAAATGTCTTCTAAAATATAAAAAGATGAAACTGTATTGAGTTACAAATGTAAACATTTAAAAGTGTGTTTTTTTCTGAAAAAGTGAAAACCTAGCGGAAACAACTTAATACAAAAACCTTTATAGCATTATCTAGTTACTTTAATACTGAAACAAAGCCCCTAATGTTACACCTAAACATTGAAGTTGTGTGGGGATATCTGAGAAGTGTGGTATAGTAGGATTCAAAGTATACCTGGGTGTCACCTCAATGCATATAGGGTGTTTTGTGTACCAAAAAGCATGTGTATATATATATAATATATATATATATATATATATATATATACACACACATACATATATACATACATACACAGTTCCAAGAAAAAGTATGTGAACCCCTTGGGATTACGTGGAGTTTTGCATGAATTGGGCATAAAATGTGCTCTGAACGTCATCTAAGTCACAACAATAGAAGAACACAGTCTGTTGAACATAATACTACACAAACATTAGCTGTTGCCATGGTTTAATTGCATATAACATGTAAACATTCACAGTGCAGGGAGGAAAAAGTATGTGAACCTTTGGACTTAACTGCTTGACCCTCCTTTGGCAGCAATAACCTCAACCAAACGTTTCCTGTAGTTGCAGATCAGACCTGCACAACGATCTGGAGTAATTTTGGACCACTCCTCTTCACAAAACTGTTTCAGTGTAGCAATATTCTTGGGATGTCTGGTGTGAATCGCTCTCTTAAGGTCATGCCACAGCATTTCAACCGGGTTGAGGTGAGGACTCTGACTGGGCCACTCCAGAAGGCGTATTCTGTGCTGTTGCAGCCATTGTTTTGTTGAATTACTTGTATGCTTTGGGTCATTGTCCTGTTGCATCACCCATCCTCTGCAGAGCTTCAGTTGGCGGACAGATGGTCGTACGTTTTCCTGCAAAATGTCTTGATAAACTCTGGAATTCATTTTCCCATCAATGACAACAATCCGTCCAGGCCCTGAGGCAGCAAAGCAGCCCCAAACCATGATGCTCCCTCCGCCATGTTTTACAGTGGGGATGAGGTTTTGATGTTGGTGTGCTGTCTTTTTTGCTCCACACATAGTGTTGTGTGTTCTTCCCAAACAACTCAATCTTGGTTTCATCTGTCCACAGTATATTTTGCCAGTAGTGCTGTGGAACATCCAGGTGCTCTTTTGCAAACTTCAAACGTGCTGCAATATTCTTTTTGGACAGCAATGGCTTCCTCCGTGGTGTCCTCCCATACATTCCATTCTTGTTTAATGTTTTCCTTTTTGTAGATGTGTCAACAAAAATGTTAGCATATGCCAGAGATTTCTGTAGGTCTTTAGCTGACACTCTGGGATTCTTCTTTACCTCATGCAGCATTCTGCGCTGTGCTCTTGCAGTTACTTTTACAGGACAACCGCGCCTAGGGAGAGTAGCAACAGTGCTAAACTTTCTCCATTTGTAGACAGTCTGCCTTACCGTGGACACATGAACATCAAGGCTTTTGGAGATACTTTTGTAACCCTTTCCAGCTTCATGCAAGTCAACAATTCTTGATCGTAGGTCTTCTGAGAGCTCTTTTCTGCAAGGCATGGTTCACATCAGACAGTGCTTCTTGAAACCAGTAAACCCAAAACAGGTGTGTGTTTTGTAAGGGCAGGACAGCTGTCAGCAACACATCCAATATCATCACACTGATTGGAGTCAAGGTTGGCTCACTCCTGGCTCCAATTAGCTCTGGGAGAAGTCATTATGTTAGGGCCTCACATACCTTTTCCTCCCTGCACTGTGAATGTTTACGTGTTATGTGCAATTATACCATGGCAACATCTACTGTTTGTGTAGTATTATGTTCAGCAGACTGTGTTCTTCTATTGTTGTGACTTAGATGACGTTCAGGGCACATTTTATTCCCAATTCATGCAAAACTCCACGTAATCCCAAGGGGTTCACATAATTTTTCTTGCAACTGTGTGTGTGTGTATATATATATATGTATGTATATATATATATATATATATATATATATATATATCAGTGCCATTCCACTTTAGGGTGACACCAAGGGTTTCAGCAAACCTCTTTCTGCTGAGAAACGAATCAAGGAGATGGATCTTCCTATTCCTATCAGCATGCCACATAGCAGTAGTTTTGAACCCAGCATAACTTGTTCTGAGCACTTCCAAGTTCAATTCATCACAGAGATCTGGGAACATTAGTCATGCTCTTCAACCTGACTCAATAAGTCAGTGAAGATATAAGAAAGACGATAAATGCCAATCTCATTGAAAGCAATTTAAACAAACCACTGATAGTGGTGCTGCTGGAGGCAGGGAAGGGGTGCCAACATTTGCATATTTAAAAGTGACAGGCTGCTACTTTGCCTTCCTGATCATTTCTACAGACACTGGAGAGGCCTTAGAATAGTATTAAGACAAGGTGACAGCTGTTCTAGCAGTGAACCTATTTAAAGCAGAGTACCACCCAAAAGTAGAAGCTCCGCATGTTTGCCTCCTCCCCTCCACTGCCATATTTGGCACCTTTTGGAGGGGAACAGGTACCTGGTTTTGACTGGTACCTGCTCCCACTTCCAGCTCAGTTCGCCGTGGCGAAGTGAGCCGAAAGTTCGGCCCCCTCCTTCCTCCCGCAGTCTCCTGGGAACCTTCACAGGTCCCAGAAGACAACAGGACCAATCAGGAGGCACACAGGTCACAGCCTGGTGCCCATAGTTGAGATGCCAGCGCCATGGAGAGAAGAGAAGGGATGGCGCGGGTGAGTACATCGCTGGACCCTGGGACAGGTAAGTGTGTGTTTATTAAAAGTCAGCAGCTACATTTTTCTTTTAGCTGCTGAATTTTAATAAACACAAAAACGGCTGAAACTCAGCTTTAAGACATTTGACTGCCATGACTTTTCTATACATGACTGGCAATGTAAGAAGTGGGCAGTTAGAAAGTGAAAGCTTTTTTAGCCAGAAAAAAAAATTACCAATGCAGTGGGGCCTTCTCACCCTTCAAGGGTTTTATGCTCGTATTGGTCTAGGGCAGTGGTGGGCAACCTTTTTTTTCAACTGAGCCAAATCTCGCCAAAACCACGATTGAAATTTATTTTGAGAGCCACATTTTTAAAACTGAATATACATCCCCCATATAGTAATTCATCCCCCATATAGTAATTCATCCCCCATATAGTAATTCATCCCTCATATAGTAATTCATCCCCCATATAGTAATTCATCCCCCCTATAGTAATTCATCCCCCCTATAGTAATTCATCCCCCATATTGTGTCAATTCACTTACCTTTGCTCCGCGCGTTCCTCTCGCCGTGTTCCCGCGCCGTTCCGGTCTTCAGGGCGGACTGTGAGAGGAGAGGAGTTCGTCACGCTGCCCCGCCTACATCCTGACAGCCAATGTTTGCCACGCTCCGCGGGCCGGATTAAAAGGCTAGCTGCAGAGTCCTGACTTTTGGGGCGGCCGCCCGAGAGGAGGGAGGGGAGCGGGCGCCCGGCACACAGAAGAGCCGCATTAAAATGTGTAAAGAGCCGCATGTGGCTCGCGAGCCGCGGCTTGCCGACCACTGGTCTAGGGGGGCATTGAGGGATAAGGTGTAATAATTACTGTACTCTCTGCTCCTGTAGCTTTCCCCTTAACAAGTGTTAACCTTACAGTGCAGGGTTGGGGGGGGGGGGGGGGGTTGGGGGCAGGTCCCCCAATTCAAGGGTTTTTTTTTTTGTTTTGTTTTGTTTTGTTAATCCAGTGTTTGTCTTTAATCTTTCTTGGTACAAACTGGCTCCCTCTCTTCCCACCAATAATTCAGACTAAAATTTACAACTGCAAGCATCTGCTGAAAGAGGAAGTGGCGTTGTGACAGACTTCCTTGTATGGCTGTTGCATCAAAGATTACTTATATCATGCTGTGTGGAATGGCTCCATGTTAAAGTGTTACTAAACCCAGTACCCTGCAGTCACTATATCTGGTCTCCCACAGTACACACAACATGGAATGCAATTATTTTAATAAATATAAACTGCTAAATACCTTTTCTCATCAGTAGTTAGAGCAGTCTTGTGACTTCTATCAGTGTCCAGCTGAGCACCGGTTAAAGCTTGTAGGAGGAGTTTTCTCTACGAGGTTGCAGAACCCCTGACCTCTGTCTGGACAGTGCTGATTGGCCCTGTGCTGATCACTTGCACTCTTCCAAGAAAAAAAAAAAAACCTCTCTAGCAATACACACCAAACTAAGCAAGTGCAGTGTCTCCACACGATATGTCTTATCAGGAGATAAGTGGGAGACACTGGAAGAAGGGGAGGATCAGAGAAGTCAGGATCAAACAGCATTTTTCCACAATGCAGAGAATTAACCCCTTAGGTTTTACCATGAGTATAACAAGCATGCTTTACTGCATATACAGACTGATTTTACACAACGGTCACACCGATCCTGACTTTGAAATCATGCGACTTACAGTGAAAGTCGGAAGACATGCCGATTTGAGGTGCGATTTGCTAGACATCTGACACAGATGTCTATGCAATTCGCACCAATATGACTGCTGTAATTACGGACAATAGGGTGCGACATGCCATGCAATTTGCAAGTTGTATGGCATGCAAATCGCATGCCAAGTCGCACCTGGTGTGAATGGGGTCTTACTGTTGTGGGTTTAATAACACTTTAAAGATAACTGCAAATGTGCAGAAAAACACAATTTGCCAGTTATAAAATGCCATGTTTAAAATGTTTTGGTTCTAAATATTGATCTTTTCTTATTCTGTGCACACTAACATCTCCTTAAGGTGGTTTTAAACCTCTGAAGTGAAA